CCTCCTTTTTGTGGGCCCGCCCGGCGGTGGCCTCGCCATCACTGTGGTTCCCGCACCCCCTCAGGGCTACTCCGCCCGGGCTGCCGCCTTCTCCGGGCCTGCTCATGCCAGGGCAGGCCGGCATACCGTGGTGTGCCCCGTGCTCCGCATCGCCGCGGCCGCGCCAGTATCCGGTACGCCCGCGGGTGATCGCTAGGCGCCCGGGCTCGAGTTCGTGGGGTTATTTTTCAAGTGACTGCTTTCATTCGGGAGAAGTAGGTCACTGTGTCGCCCGGGCTTTGGTCCAAGGTGCACTGCTGAGTATTGCTGCAACAATTAAGAAACAAGTGAAAACTAGGCACTGTTTGCTTATTATCTTTTTAATTACTTCCTTGCAGTAGGTTATAGCTGCTGCTTTTTAGTTTGCTGTTGTGCTGTCTGGTTTCTTTTACCTCACTGGGCAAGGCTGATGCATACCTGCTGAGCAGCAGCAGCCTGTGCAGTTCCTCTGCTTTGCCCTCTGCTGTTGACACAATTTGAGAATAAATTCAGAAGTGAAGTATGTTTATTCAGGAGCCTGGTGTACACAGCTTTGTACACATAGAAGCATTGCCACGCAGCAGATCTGAAGCCAATAGTGAGCTGACAGCTAGGGAGGCTTCCTCCTTTTTGTGGGCCCGCCCGGCGGTGGCCTCGCCATCACTGTGGTTCCCGCACCCCCTCAGGGCTACTCCGCCCGGGCTGCCGCCTTCTCCGGGCCTGCTCATGCCAGGGCAGGCCGGCATACCGTGGTGTGCCCCGTGCTCCGCATCGCCGCGGCCGCGCCAGTCTCCGGTACGCCCGCGGGTGATCGCTAGGCGCCCGGGCTCGAGTTCGTGGGGTTATTTTTCAAGTGACTGCTTTCATTCGGGAGAAGTAGGTCACTGTGTCGCCCGGGCTTTGGTCCAAGGTGCACTGCTGAGTATTGCTGCAACAATTAAGAAACAAGTGAAAACTAGGCACTGTTTGCTTATTATCTTTTTAATTACTTCCTTGCAGTAGGTTATAGCTGCTGCTTTTTAGTTTGCTGTTGTGCTGTCTGGTTTCTTTTACCTCACTGGGCAAGGCTGATGCATACCTGCTGAGCAGCAGCAGCCTGTGCAGTTCCTCTGCTTTGCCCTCTGCTGTTGACACAATTTGAGAGTAAATTCAGAAGTGAAGTATGTTTATTCAGGAGCCTGGTGTACACAGCTTTGTACACATAGAAGCATTGCCACGCAGCAGATCTGAAGCCAATAGTGAGCTGACAGCTAGGGAGGCTTCTGTCCAGCATGGCAGCCCTTGGCCACGGCAAGACAAGGAGCACATCGGGACTTTATTCTTGGTCTGACTGTGGCCATAGACTTGATGCAGAGAAACGTCCCCATTCGCTTGGTGTCCTCATGTTAACTGGGATTATTGCATTTGAAACATTAATTTGCGTAATGAGACCTTCCAGGAATTACTACAAATAGGCACGGATGGCTTATAGATTGAAATACAGTTTAATAACAAAGTAGAGCGAGCTGCCCAGTCTTTGGGAGACAAAGTCAGGGCCCATGAGCTGTCCTTACCACCTTGTAATCCGAACACATAGCTGTGGCCCTAAGAAAAACAGAACATCAATGGTATCTGCAAGCTATGGTATTAAATACTAAAAATGGCGCTAAAAAGAAGAGGAATATGTACCGCAAAATAACCCCAGCCTGAAAGAACAGAAATAAAAGACAGCCGGGAGGTTTGTGAAGGCTGGAGCCGCGCAGAACCCTCCCGGAGTACCAGGCTGCCAGGACCCGATCCACGGGGAATCGAACCCGCAACTCGGAGGCGGCAACTCCCTGGCAGCTCTCGCCTCCCTACTCCGCTGCCCGGCGAGCATCGGTCACCTCCCGGTCCGTGCTCACTGCACATGCGCCAATATCTGTCACCTCCCGGTCGTTCTCCGGGACTGTTCCACCAGGGGGAGGGGGAAGCGGCAGCGGGCGCTGTGCGCAGGAAAGGGAGGGGGCTGCGCCCTCCCCAGCCTGTGCTGTCACGGTGCGCGCTCCC